GCGTATTTCAGCCGGTGCTATACCAAGTTATGAGGCACTTTGTTTCGTTAACAGCAGTTGTAGAGCATGTCTACAGTGATCATTTCATCAGTCGATATCTGGGGCAAGCGCACGCAAATGCCATCGTGTATATCTCATTTTCTTAAGTGCATGACTATATATATGCTTATGGTATATGCACAGGTTATACAAACGCGTCCTTTATTTCTTAATTTAGAAAACGGAGGGTGCGCTCATTATACGACGAGGAAATCGGTTATATCTTACTGTATCTCATCAAGTAACGTGCGGTTGCCAGCATCGACACACAGTCCAGAACACACGCTAGAAAAAATCCCACACGGCTTAACCTTTAGGATGTGAAAAAGAGGAGAGTTATTGGCATCTCTTACTTCCGCGTACCAAAATAAAAAAAAAGGTGACTAACCTCGCATAAACTACGATGCAACAATTCAACGACGTTTTTGATGAAGACACTAGCGGATTTCGTTTTAGTATAAAATTAACGATTGAACCATTTTTAAGCGGCGGTGACATAGTCGTAAAACGGTATTTGAATACGTCATCTCATTGTCTTTCTCTTTTGTATCTCAGGAAGTCTGCAACAACGAGCTCAAAGCGACGGAAAAGCAAATTGAAGTTATGCGGAAAGAAGTCCAAGAGCTCTCAAATGACTGCGAAGAGCTCGCGCAACTGTACCAGGACAGAGATAGTCTGCTAGGTACGTCACTTCGGCCGGTACTGTAGTTAGTCCGCCGTGGTAAAGCAGTGGCTATGGTGCTCGGCTGCTTGCCAGAAGGTCGCGGGTTCGAGCCCGGCCATGGCGGCACTCGCATTTCCGTGGAGGCGACGCGGTGGAGGCTCATGCACTGCACAATGTGAGCACACGTTAAAGAACACCACATGGTCGATATTTCCAGAGCTCTCCACTACGGCGTCTCTCACAGTCAAATCATGGTTTTGAGACGTCAAACCTTAGATATTACTATGTGGCACCGCAACTGAGTTTTGTAAAATAGGCCAATCGACGCCGAATGAAAAGAACAAATCGGTAACAAGAAATGGGGTAAAATCGGCTATAAGTCTTCAGCTATATATAGGCGAAAATAAAACGTATATTCGGAAATCGCCTGCAAACGTGCTTTTCCGGCTCGTAATTTTACACGGGAACTCTTTCGCATTACTGGAACACCTTGAGATCAGAAGACAATAAACTGTTTCGATCTGGGTGGGCATCAAATATAAAATATTTCTCCCAAAACAAGTTGCATCTGTTTAGATTATACTAAATGTCTCTGTCAACTTTCTGTTCTTAGTCAAGCCTGCGCCGGCTGCATGTCTGTTCGTTGTCACGCAGGCGCAGGTTCCCCATCTCACTGCAGAGGGTGCTTATAATAATGATGATGATGCGCTTGATCATGACAATAACGCTGATGATAGTCATGCTCTAAATTATTATGCTAAATTGTGACGATCATGATGACGATACACATGACCTTGCTAGCCAATCATATACACTCACACGCTTACGGCTGCGATGTCCGACTGTTTCGACGGCGTGGAAATGTTATAGTATGGTATGGAATGATATGGTATGGCATGGTATGATAAGGTATGGTAAACTTTATTTGGCTCCTGAAGTTCAACGCTTAGGTTGACGCCGGCAGCTCCCATGTTGGGACAGTGAGGTTTAACCTTACCACCATATCGTGGGCTTTCTAGATGGCTTGTACACGGCGTGGAACTGGCTGTTTTTTTTCTTTTTGCGTCCATAGTTTTTCTTCCCACAGACACCATCATCTCGAAGACTTCCGGGAGCGAGCTGGAGTGCCAGCTTGCCCTGGACCTCGAGAAGCTTCACATCTGCAAGCAGCAGGTGGACCTGACGCACTTCAAGTGGTCACAGGCGTTGCTCATGGTGCGCCAGGCTTGCTCCCAGTTCTCCAGGGCACTCAAGAAGTGGAAGGACCTCGACACTGTCCCCGAAAGGCACGTCCTATGCACGCGAAGCTTGAGACCTTCCTTTGACGCCTGTAGGACCACGGTTAGAATTGGTTGCGTGGCAGTTAGTTCGCTTTTATTTACTTTGGGTCGTAAGCTTGGGCAGGCATGTCAGCCGTTGGCAGGCAGTATTGCTTTAGTTGCACTCGGTTGAAGCGTGTCCAACCAGATTTGCCGTGAACGCAGACAGTAGGGCGCAGCATGGTAGCCCGCGTAGTTCTGCAGCGCCAAAGACGGCCGAGCGTTACGAGTTCCTGTTAAGTCACGAAAAAGAAACTGACCCCCACGTGGGCAACAGGGATTAGAAACGTCGGCACATCAATGGGCCTCTTCCGAGACCCAGATCGGCACAGTGACTCTTCACTCCGGTTCATCTGCGGCCCAGCCGCATGCAGTGTTCGCACATACCGTTTCGAGGCAGCGCGCGTCGCGAAAAGTTGGAGGTCACCAACAACCTTTTGTCCTGGCCTGGTTTAGCTCTGGTAGCTCTCAGAAGCGGGTGGGTTGGCGACACTTGAGAGGGTGGCTGATGACGCGATGATCGGGCGCCCAGTCGACGATTTGGTGCGTATTGTCGCAGTGGCATGTCTTCGACTGCTCCCGCGCAAATGAGCTTGTAAGTGGAACCACGGGTGGTCAGCGAGCGGTTCCTCTTACCGCGCACAGGGGACAAACGGATTATTGCCCCGTCGTCAAGAAGTTGACGTGTTACAGGGAAGTCGTCCTATGGCCGCAATACCCAGTACGTGTAGCTCTGTCTAGATAATTGTGTGCCACGGAGCTTGCCCAAGCCTCTATGACTGTTTCTTGTTCTGTGTTGTTTACATTTTGGTTGTGTTATTTCGGGAGAAGGCATGAACCCCTCCGAGCACGAAGGTGGCGTCCTTGTGTCGGGGTTTTTGATCGACCAAGTGTGTTGTCCTTTCAGTAAAAAAAGCAGGCGATTATTCCGCCGAGAGTTGTGTAAGAGTGGAGCAACGAGGAAATTATAAGAGGCCCCGGAGCTCTGCCAAGGGTTTTGAAACGGGCTTGAGGTGTTAGGCACCATCGACTCTGCCGAATCCCGTAGGGTCGCCCTGCAGAACACGGTTTATTTCCAAAGCGTTTTTTTGTTGTTGTTTGTAACGTTGACGTCCGTGCTTATGTAAGCTTGTACAGTCTGTAAATAGAAGTTTTTCCCAGCATACTAGAAGTTCTTCAGCGTTTCTGCTTCATCTTCAAGCGACCAGCGAGTCAATCGCCGCTATTGGTATAGCGGCAGCACGTTTTCTTCTCCCAGTTTGCTATACCACCTTGGGTGGTGCGTCTCGGGTGCTGAGTGGTGAGAGTTGGTTTCTACAACATCACAAAGAACCTGGATTTTACTACGCGGTTTTTCTAATCCGCATTAAAGCGAAAGCTTTATATGCATTATCACACAGGAAAAGTGTCACCTGTCGGCGTCGGCGGCCTTGGTTTGGAGGGGGGGGGGGGAACCACTTTTTCCACTTTGCGCCACGAACTATCAAATTTACTTATGTCTGTATATACACGCACACATACAAACGCACGCACTAATATACATAAAGTATAGTTGCCAAAGCCCCCCCCCCCCTTTCCGCTCCCGCTCCAATAAATATTTCTGGCTACGTGCCCGACTATGGGCTTTTAGATAATCTTACATAGAAGGCCGCATAACCATGGGAATTCATAGACAACAATGCCGAAGAAAGTCTATGGGATTTTATTAGTAGCAATTGTTACGTAAATGCAGGGAAAGAAATGTGGACGAAAAGATAACCTTCTAATAACGCGTCCGATGCTCTACCAACCTAGCTACCACAGCACGAATTTCTCCGTCCACTTTATACGTATATATGTATATTTTAAACGTAGTAGTGTCAGTCAGGGCCGCAAGACGAGCCAATAAGGCGAGTGTAGAACACTCTTTTTCTGCCCTTTGAGGTCACGCAATACGTGATCTTATGACAAGCTGGCAGGCCGAAGTGTACACGAGGGGCAGTAGTGATGATCTTTCCTTATGCATGACAGCCACGATTCTGTAAAAGCACTCATAGCAACCGAGCTTCAAGAAGTGTTTTTCGCCACGGAGATTGATAGTAAGATAAATATGATAAAATTAGTTACTTAGCGTACTGAATGGACTCGAGCTGTTTCGAAGATAAAACTGACGTTATACACAAACCTCTCCGGTCAGACAAGATAGATTAAGTAACAGTGAGACGTAAATAGCGCAGATAAAATAGCATAGCATGCACAGCAGGAAGTCTAATTACATTTTATCTCGTCGACTCAACCTGACTAACCATGCGTTGAATGCGAATTTCTCTAGATAAGCTTTCTTTTTTTTTTCATTTATTCACTGCCAACCACCGTAATGTATAGATTCTCTCTCTTCTTTTATCTCCATAGCGACGAGAAGATGCGGTACTACTGTGCAGCCGAAACAAGAAACAACCTCAGTGCAGCCTTACAGAACTTGCAAGGGGCTCAACGTTATCTAAAAAATATCGAGTTCCCGTACTGCAGCCCCAACGAAATAGAGACGGTCTACAAGGTACGTTTTCTATAGCTTGATGCCTGTGCAGCAGAAAAATCAAGGCTGCATCTCGATCACGTAGAGGATGTAGCGTCCGTATCATGGTCAAGAGATTCACACGCAGAGCACGTTCTCGCTATTTGCATTGCCAATAGAGACAAATTGAAGTCGCATATCGAACGATGTCCTCTGCGCTCAGCAGAGCACATTGCATGTAGCCGTAGGATGCAAAATGCGCGGGACGTACCCATATCACGACGCCATGATGGATGGAAGTTTGCTGATAGGCACGGGGAGACCGAAACCGGTGGCGTATAGTGGAACGCGACGATAACTTTGTTTACTTTATTCTATTTTATTTTCATTTTTTTTTTGCTCTGTCTATTCATGTAGCATTCGCCTATGCGTACATTCAGTCAAATTGACTTGCGCTATGTGCTCGTTTAACGCACCCTATTTGCCATATAATCTATACATCTGCAGCGATGCATGGCTGTAGATAGCTACACTGCAGTGTGCAATTTCACGCATTAGACTCTTTGAATCTGTGCAGTGCACCTGTCGACGATAACTTTGTTTACTTTATTCTATTTTATTTTCATTTTTTTCTGCTCTGTCTATTCGTGTAGCATTCGCCTATGCGTACATTCAGTCAAATTGACTTGCGCTATGTGCTCGTTTAACGCACCCTATTTGCCATATAATCTATACATCTGCAGCGATGCATGGCTGTAGATAGCTACAGTGTGCAATTTCACGCATTAGACTCTTTGAATCTGTGCAGTGCATCTGTAGACTTGGTCGGTGCATCTTGTAAGGTGAGCGACCACTTACTGCAATCAGTAGTGCTGATGAAACTGCGTTACTTTGTTGTACTATCGAGTATACTCATTGCTGCCGCTATTAATCATTTACCTTTCGAGCACAAGTGCAACTTTTGTTGTTATTGCTGTCGTCGTCCCGCTGCGGTGGTCTAATGGTTAAAGTACTCGGCTGCTGACCCGCAGGTAGCGGGATCCAATCCCGGCTGCGCTGGCTGCCTTTTCGATGGAGGCGAAAATGCTCTATAGGCTCATATGCTCAGATTTGGGAGCACGTTAAAGAACCCCATGTGGTCGAAATCTCCGGAGCCCTTCACTGCAGCGTCTCTCATAATCTTGGTGGTGGTTTCGGGACGTTAAACTCCACATATCAATCAATGCTGTCGTCGTCGACGTTGTTGTGTCGAGATATACGAGAACTGGTACGCCACAACTCCACGAAATCGTCGTGAAGATACCGAGTAGGTATAGCATATATATACAAGCATGCATTTCGCAGTATATACAAAGCGGTGCAAAACAATGCGGCAACCATCTCGCGGCCATAAGTGTGCGCAAGGTTTCCCTTCAGGCGGGTGGAGGCTTATCGCTGCATCCCCTCTCTCTCATGTCAGTGTATGGGGCAGACGTTAGACATTGCGCCTTCCCCCCTCTTACCTGACAAGGAAGGGGGGGGGGCGCCCCCTGTCCCCCGTGCGTATGCTCCCAAGTCTCGCGTAACGTTTACTACTTTCTCTCCATGCTCCGAGGTTTTGTTACATCAAATGCACTCATGCGCAGACGCCACATAGTGCATATTTCTCTCCACCTTGCAGGCCGTCACGTATATCTTTTCGGACATGAAGGCGCCTGAGAGACGAGAGCACGCCTATAATTGCTACAACAGCGTTTACAGAAGAGCAGGAGCGCTCAAGCAATGGCTAGAAATGGTAAGTAATAATGGATTGCGACAAGCCGAATTTTTTTCACAATGTAACCAATTTGAATATGGCACCCCCATTTAATTGTTTCATAAAATCAACTCGTGTCTACTAGACAAGGAATAGAAAAAAGGTCGCTTAGAGATTTGTCGTCATTTGATTCAAAACGCGAGCCTAGCCGTACAGATGAAGTTCTTTCTTTTTCCTTCAAAACTACTTCAAAACTAAGATCATAAACGCATCTCCTTGCAATCAAGATACGCATAATCAATTGACGTTTGCGAGATGTGACATGTGAAAATAAAACATATTGACAACAAAGAGAAATGTCTCCTACCAGCATGCCAGCCGAACATTGCTTATACGCAGCAGGCGGGCCCAGCTATATTGGCTAATTTTATTGATGGCGAAAACTTTCTCGATAGTACCGTTATTGTTAATAGAAGAGTCGTCAAGGTCGCTTTCACATTATCTAGACGCTCTGAATAGCATACCAGTTCAAAGTATCCTCTAAATCAGTGTAAACGCATGATAACTGAAGTAACAACGGTGCTATTTTCTCTCTTTGCACCATACTGACCAACTGAAAGATGAAGATAGACCCACCGTGGTGGTGTAGTGGCTATCGTACTCGGCTGCTGACCCGCAAGTCACGGGATGGAATCCCGGCTACGGCGGCTACATTTTCGATGGAGGCGAAAGTGCTGTTGGCCCGTGTGCTCAGACTTGGGTGCACGTTAAAGAGCACCAGGTGGTCGAAATTTCTGGAGCCCTCTACTAATGCGTCTCTCATAATATGATGGGTTTGGGACATCAAACCCCACATATCAATCATTCAATCAACTCAAAGATGAGACGTCTCAAAAGAAATGCGAAAGGAGTAGTATAAAGAGATTTGTAAGTTGTACAGTTCACGAACAAATCACTCGATTCTTTTTAATCAAGCGCGATAGCACTTGGAAGAATGCAGGTGAATCTTTGTAGTTGTAGCATTGCGAATGCATATACACTTGCTAAGGTAGCAAAGATCATCATACTGCAAGGTTATCATGAAGATTGTATTCGGCCAAGAGCAGGATAGCAGGTATTACGTTATGCTGACTATTTTTGTCATTGCTACAGCACCCATGTTACTGAAACAGAGAGAAACATCGAAATTAAGGCACCCGGCGTTACTCAAGAGATTAGTGGTAATAAAAAAAAAACACTTTGAGCTCATTGCTGCTATAATTTGTTGCAGGTGATAAATAACATAATATACCACGACCTCGGCATTTTGGAAGAGAGGTGTCGAGAAAAATCCGCGCTGCTGCGAAAGGAACGAATACGACTCATAAAGGATTCAATCAAAAACACCACGGGCAAGGAAATCAAGCTTGACAGTGGTAAGTGAGCTCGGCATATGAAGGAAGTTCACCTCAACCGAGGTAGTTATTCTTAAGACAGACAGACACACGTGCAGAGAGAGGGAGAACTTTATTGGGCCCTGAGAAACGCTACTCCTTCAGAGCAACAGGTGTTTATGTAATCAAGGTTTTATTTCGCGGCGGGGGGGGGGGGGGGGAGTATAAATGTGCGTGTCGTTGTTTGTAGTTGGGCGAGTACAAATACACACAAACAAAACAACTTGGAGGGGGGAGAGGTTTGGATCTCTCCCCAAGCTTTTCAGAAGGTCTCAACAGTTCGCCAACATCTACAGTCACGGGCACGTGTCATGCGGCTTGTGATTTATGTGTAGCGCAGAGCTTCAGAATGATCAGCTGTTTGAATTAAAAAAAAACTCGATGTAAACACAGATATTCAGTCTAGCAGCTTACAGGTGGTGAAACAAAGCAAGATTTCTTTTTCTTTCTTTTTTCTCGGAGCTTTATTAAAAACTGGAATAATCCCCAGCCTTGAATATACTGCAATATATGTCTTTTCTTTTTTTTTTTTCAGTCGACTACCACATGGATGCTGATACGGACACTTTCCAAGACGACGACACTGCACAGCTGTTTTACGCCGAAAGAGCACTGAGTAGGGTCAGTACACTTATCTGTATTTTCGACTAGTGAGCTCTGGTGTCGAATTATCAAGGGTTCACGAATACATGGCTATAAATGATTTCGAAAAGATTAGTCCTGGTTAACTTTACTCTCTGGTAATATATGTACGCACAAAAACATTATTACATAGCAAAGCTTTGTAGGCAAACGGAAGAAACATTTCATTGCAGCAAAGTGTATTTGATCGTTGCGGCTCATTTGTCTCACGAGTGCAAACTGGCCTTCGTGTATTACATCTGTCGAGTTTTTATTCCCACAGAGCTCACTCGTGACTCCAGATGTCGGCCGGACGACGCTACCAACGCCGGTGCCAATGTCTGATCTCGCTCCGCTGCCTCCCACGGAAAAGATATTCGGTACGTTAGATCAAGCGTAGCACATTCGTTAATTACCTGCTTAAAATACTTGTGATTTTGTTAGGTATAGGGGCACTTCAGGTCATCAGAGTAAGTAGATAATTAAGCATGCAATCACTCACAGCGTCATGAAATACCTCGAAGCAGTTTCAGGATGCTTTCACCAAAACAGCAGCGTTAAACTGGACCATGTTTTCAGGTAATCATCGAATGAACTGAGTATCGAAGTTTATCAAACTGTCTCACGGACTACATGATGCGGCCTGCCTGTTGCCAACCTTTGTTATTATGCTATGCTGCTGTTGGCTATACAACGTAAAATTCTGTTCTCATTTACCAAATGCAGGCAAAGTGGCAGAGCTGCGCTACCAGCACAACGAGCAAATGAAGGTGCTCAAGAGAGTGCAAGAACTCCGTCAGGCGAGACTGAGCAAAGCACTTCAACGGAAGCTAGAAGCACGTCGTCGCCGGAAGAGCACCGTGCCGCACGCTCGAGAAGAGTGACCACTTCCGGGTTCAGCTGTTCTAAAGTCGCTGGTGAAGGTGAAGAGAGGTTGAGGTTTCTGTTCACTTTATGACGTTTATTTCATCCTTTTTCTGTGATACCGACTGAAGTGTTTAACACTGGCTAGAATGGTTACCTGTTATGTAATAGAGGTGTAGCGAAGAGACTATAGTTAAAGGCATGTGGCGTTAGCAGCGACTCGACGTGACAGTGAATGTACCTGAGGTGTCGCCGACGACTACGAGATAAAACAATGTCAACAAGTGCGAGTGGGCCTGCAAACTGCCAATCACCTTTCAATCAAGCGTTGCGCCTGACACCCTCACGCGCATTTAAGATTTCATATTTTCGATTTCCATTCAGAACATATATGCGGGGAATCTTTAAAAGGTGACCTATTTATTTGGGCCTATTAATTTCTTATGAACTATCTCATATTATAGCGGTTTGCAACGAAATCTTGAGAAAGGACGAGAATTCACTAGTCTTTCTTTCTGTTTATGGACAATGCAAAAAAAAAAAAAACAAATAGCCAAATACACGACATTTCGTGTACAAGAGAAACTATATACTGTTGACATCAAATCAGCTTCACGTTTTTCGCGGCCATTTGAACACCCTACATGCTAGTAGGGTAAATGGTTTACAACCTTTAGAAACCTTCATTCGTCCCGCTTAGGTGCATTGCATGGTCATATGAGTTTTGAACGTTTTATAGGCGCAAGCTGCATTTCCAGTTTTCGTTATATCTTACTTATTCGTTTTTTTTTTCAACTCTGCCCATCAATAACCAGAATCGGCCACTAAATGGTCGTTGTTCCAGCATCTTCCCCACAATTCCCGTTAAAATCGCACACATTGTAACAAAACTACTGGCCGACGAATTAGGTCCCTTCTAGGATTACTATGTGTTTTGCTGTCATGGCAGCAATATATGGTGTAGGAAGGTGTGGAAACGTTGTACTTACACCAGCAGCTATCGGTAAAATCCATGTGATAGACCATGTGATAGATAAGGAAGACTAATTATGAAAAAGCACGCTTTACAGGAAGCTTACCACAATGAAATTCTGGGCTGCATTAAAGGCTTGTACCACATGGCGTACTTATAGAGCAGCCTATGAGAGAAACTTGACCCTTGAAATACGAGTTAGTGTTCCGAAAATTCTAGCGAAAATTGGCATCTTTAATCACGAATTTCGCTTGATTTCATTGCCCAGGCTTATGACAGCCAGGCTGGGTCGGCCTTCAGCTGACATCAGAAATTCAAAGGCTCCTGCGAATTGAAGCATGCTGAAAACTCCCGAAAATGGCGTGCTGACAGTTGCATCATATTCACTCATCACCACGTCTAATCATATTTCGCTCAAATTCTGGAAGGCTGCTAAAAAGAAATTTATAAGTCAGCTTTTCAAAATATTTGGTTGCAGCTGGAATTTACAAGGAAAACACTACAAAAACTTTTTGAATAATAAAATACGCGTGTATACGGGAAAAGTACTTGCATTTTTCAAGGAGCTCTACACCGCGCAGAGTATCTCGTACCTTTTCTCAAGGCCAATTGCATAAGCTTGCTTTGTGTTTTGCTCTCATTTGCCTTAAGGATTGTGAGGTGCACAAACAAATGTTTAGCATTGCAAGCGCGGAAAACTCGAAGCAGACCAGGACAAGAATGAAGATGCTTGCAAATGGACGTTCTATGCTGCCCAGAAGTGGAGGTACCGCAATAAATCCACTGGGCTGTCTGTGTGGCTCCCAGCTACATTGCAGAAGCGAACCACAATTATAAGTAATGAAACATGTGTTCACAATTACACGTGCCGCAGATTACTGCAATGTAAAGATGAATAAAGCTACAAAAATTTATTCTGTATACTTTATAAATGAGAACAAACAATGATGCCAAGGAAAGTATAGGGGATGCTATTAGCAGTAACTGTAATGTAAATGCGAGGGAAGAAAAGTGGACAAAAAGATAATTCACTGCCAGCAGGGACCGATCTTGTGGCCTTCGAATAACGTGTACGATGGTCTACCGCTGAGCTGTGGCGGCGGTCATCCCTCCGTTCGCTTAATACGGTGTATATGATAATTTAGACGTGGGAGTGTCAGTCACCATCGCCAGTAGCCATCCTGGTGAGTTTGGAACACTCTTTTTTGGTTGTTGGCCTCCTGTTGCATGCAATCTTAAATACAAGCTGGAAGCTGACCGATACGGCAGCAAGGTAACTTTTTTGTTTAGATTTTTCATAATAATTACTTATGATAACATCCCCTGTACTTTTAATGGCATCATTGTTTACTTATTCTCATTAATATTGGGTCTAACAAAGAAAAACGAGCCCTTCAAACTTACAACTTTTTCTTTCTGTACACTTTGTCACGTGCCATTTTACGTCGTCACCGTATGACCTGTTGTGGTGTTGACTAGCACACACTGCGTACCCTGCAACCTGAATCCTATTGTAAAGCGCCGCTATGTGTGCGAGTTGCAACTAATCATCCGATAGAGATGCCTAGATTCATGATACAGGCAAACACATTGTTACTTTAATATGATTAATGTGTATAATTTCGTTGAAAGTTACAAAATGGGTCAAAGTCAAGCTTAATAAATTGTCTTTTTTTTTATTATCCCAGTTCATAATGTCTGTAATAGGTGATATCAGGTGCGGATACATTTTTTTTTTTTTCAAGAGAGGGATCAGACTTTGAAGTGGCGACTGGTGATGATGGTTACTGAGTGTATGTGTTTGGTGAATGAGAATAATATATGTATATAAATTATTCCTGTCTCTGCACCTGTTCTAATGATACATATATTTCTTTGGCGAGAATGAATTAGACATGAAATATTTCCATGCGAAGTGGCCATTCCGCATGCCATAAGTGAACATACTGTTTAATGTAGAACTATTTGTTCCAAGTATGCATTCTACAGGAGCTACACAGTGGCGAGTCAAGTGGCAAGGTGGGCCCCAAAGTAACAGTGGTCATGCAGTGGGAGACTTTCTACAGTCTAAGGAAATTCAATAAGTTCATCTTTGTGTCCCTCCCCATCAATAGGTGTGCTGTTGTAAGCTCTAGTCGTCATATGTTGCCGTGGCTTGGCATAACGCAAGCAATACTACATATAGCCATTCAAGGCGAAGTGGATATATGTAGAGAGGCGCAATCAGTTTCGACTTCACCCGTCAAGTTTGATGATGAATACCTCAAACTACGTGCAAATTTTGTAATTTTTGAGAAATAGGTATGTGTTTAAATTGCCATGCACTACAACTTTGTAATTATACACCTGCCCTCAAGTCAATCATTTAAAAGTTAATTAACAATTTTTTGTTCATTAGTTGCACAGTGTCAAGTTAATTGCAGCTCTGACATGGCAATCATGTGCGAGTACAGCAGGAACCTTACTGCCGTAGAATATTTATAAAAAGTCTGCATTGTTTAAAATGAAACACCCTGTACATATCAAAAAAAGGGAAGGGAGTTGCACAAGAAAAATCAAAACATAGATATTGTGCCAACTGTGGATGGTACCATCAGGACATTAATGACGGTAAATTATAAAATACATCCTATTTTCATACGATAGATGGCAATATGTCAATGTTTAGTTTTCAGTGTCAACAGGATCTAGTAACAAAAACACTTGAAGTAGAAGTCAACAGCACACAGCCCTATTATGCAAGTATACACTATAAGGAAACAAGTGGAACTCACTTCATATTCTTTCTAGTCGTTTCAATGGCAGTGCTTCAAGAACTGCCCATTGTATAAGTTTTGTGATGCAGTGCCGTCGGTAATACCTGTATACAGTACTGCGAATGAACTGTTGGTTTCCCTTAACCCATAATTACGCAGTCCAAGCTTGGCTACAGTGCGATGACCAACTTAGGTCACCAAAACATGGAAGGGCGGGCATATATACGTTACTAGCATATATCTTGGCCATACAAAATTCAACGCCAATACAATACGCGCGTCATGATTGCAATATACATAGCACATAACTAAGGTATCTGCTTTCTACATGCAATCCTTTTATGACATCCTTATGCGGGGCCCACTGGTAATGGCCCACCACATGCACATCAAAATCAAACCGCTGTGAGAGTTTGAGAAAATTATGGATAATTTATTGTTACTATGTATTTACAGAAAGTGGTTAACCGGGTCCTTCCTGTTACGTCTTTGTCCAGGCTCAGTTTAACTTTCCTTTGCCTTTTATGACATCCTTATGTGGGGCCCACTGGTAATGGCCCACCACATGCACATCAAAATCAAACCGCTGTGAGAGTTTGAGAAAATTATGGATAATTTATTGTTACTATGTATTTACAGAAAGTGGTTAACCGGGTCCTTCCTGTTACGTCTTTGTCCAGGCTCAGTTTAACTTTCCTTTGGCTTCTTCCATTTTCCTGCAGCCTTCTCTTCCTTTCGGTACTGACTCCTGAAGAAATATAAAAGGAGGCACTTAGCCTGTGAGTTTCACACTGTGACTTAAAACACAAACAAGTTTCAGAAGTGACATATTTCCAGGCTTTTTTTATTTCTTAGCTTCAATAATGTTAGAGTAGCTTATGCCACTAATATTGATGGCCTAAGAAAGATCTATTAGCTGTAAAACAGTTTAATTCGATGACCTTGCACATTAGGTCATAATTTCAGTAGTGATATAAACTATATTTTGCTAAATTTATACAAATGAGTGAAAGGTTATAACTTACCTCGACTGCCATCTCCTGCCAAAGTTCCACACACGTCCAAACGATGGCAGCCATTCTTCCGAAGTCTTCGAAAAGTGGTCGAAATTTGCCCCCACCCTGTTCGGGTTGAGCTTTTTTCTTTTCTCCAGGAACACTGAATAAAATGCACATACAGAACCTTTGTAAGGCATGTAACTCTAAGTATAGTGCAGAAAACAAATGACACTGAGCTGGTACTAGATGTGCGGATGCAGCAGAGAGCTCTAGTATATAATACCTGATACATGTAAGATGGTATACATAAAAGCCCGCGCATGAAAGCTGTTTAAACACTTTACGAAAGAGCATGTTCGTAGACAGGCTTCCAAGCTACACTATGAAAGGTGCATCTCCACACGGATGATGTTCGCCTCATTAAAATATACGATTCAAATTATACAGTGTTATTGAAGCAGAATACACACTGCACTCTCACGAAAAATGCCATATTTGGGGACTCCCATGAAATTTTAGCCCCCCGTAGTTTCTAAATGTTCCCCTAAACCAATGCAAATGAGCATTTTTCCAATTTACTGTAAAGAGACAAAGTGACACCAAAGTTAGTTTAGACTGATAACTGATACTTTAAAAACTTCAGTGTCGTTAATTTCACTAACCCAGACTAAAAAATAAAAAAAAAGAAGTGTAGAAAGCATCACTTTCAAGCCTCCTACCACAGTCTCCGATAGTGATGCCATAGGATTTCAGTGATTTTCCATATTTTGGTTACATTGGCCCATCGAAATTTCCCAAAACTCGGTATGTTGTGTCTGTGGCTCCCTCAGAAGACAATGTGCTTCATTTTTCACCAATTAAGAAGTAAATGGGCTCTAGCAGATATGATCAAAATCCATGACATCAAGGCAACTGGTGTGGAAACTTTAAGGTGGCATTGCCTCGTGCATTTTCTTTCGGTGCATTTTCTCATTTACCAAGCACCTTCTTGCAGCAAAGCAAGTGAATGATAATTTACTAATGTAGGAGAAACCATTTTTCTCGTTAGTGTCCCTTCAGTTAAATCATCAACATTGACCGCACAAGTGCAATGCCATAACCACTGTGCTACCAGAGCAGGTAGCATAAAATACTACCACAAAGTGTAACCATACAATGTTTCTGGAAGTCCTCCATCGTGGGTCCAATGGGAGTTTTAGAGACCTCTCCAATGCATGGACGTTTGGGCGTGGTTGGCTCCTCATCATCATCTTCCTCGCTCTCTTCGTACAGCCAAGGAGGCTTTGCACCGGTGTGGATGTTGCCCGTCATCCCTTGCAATATTGCCCGCTTTAAAGGCGGAACAAAAACGTCCATTGTTATCGGATAAATTTATACAGAGCAGAGTACGACATAAGAATGCCACATGTTATGACACCTCGTTAGTAATGAACTGCTACTTCAGCATTAATATACTCTGCATTTAATTGCAAGAAAGAATAATGTGTATGTGGTGATTTGATCACAACCGCATATCAAGCACAAACACAGAAAGTTTTTCAAAAGTGTTCTTTGCAAAGCAAGCAGTATGCAATGAAGCGATCCCTTGTGCAGACAGTTTCACCGTTTGATACAAAGTCGACAATGGCAGAATGCTCGCATTCTCATACAAAAATACATAGTGATGTGTGAAAGACACAGGTGGGTAGCAGGCAACTCTCCACAGAGTAACAGGTTGTATACCTTTATGTTGCAAAATGTGGAAGCTTTACTATAAGGTTAACGTTGTACCACTGGCCATAGTTGACACGAAGAAACCGACAGAACTCTAGTGGCAGCTGCCAGAGCTAGCAAATAAAACATACATATGTTGTATACCAAAAGAACAGAGGTGCACAACTACATAATATGGTGTAATGTTAGGCCTATAAAATTTAGTTGTAATAAATGAAACAGTTGTCTCAGAGAAAATGTTGTAAATTAATAACTAGACTGTGAAACGCACAGTACCAAACTTTTGATAACCACTCTACAGTCGAATCCCGCTACAACGAAACTCACGGGGCACGAAAAATATTTCGTTGAAGGGACAATTTCGTTGTAATGAAATTAAAAAAATACAGCTGATCTGAGCTAGAAAAACAAAGGAATGTTTATTCTTAAAACTAGAAAAGTGTCCACTGCTTCCTATTCTTTTCCATCAGCGTAAAGACGTGATTCACAGTCATGCATAGCGAGGCCATGGTGAAAACCACGCTGAAACATTGCCTACAACCGCTTTCGTAAACATACCAAACAGTTGCATTAACACATCAACACCAGCAGCTGTCCACCATCAAAGTGTATCCGACAGCGCCGAGATGGAGGCAGGGTATTGTGGGCTTTTGCCTTATTCTATGTCATTCTTATCATCCATCACTTACGGCTAGCTGATTTGGTTGATAATGCGGACAAACAACCGCTCTGCTTAGGTACCACACTGGCCAAGCGCGATTAAAATGATAAGCATCATTTTATGATGCTTATCATGATGGAAAAGCCATCACTCTGCGGTTGCACCCAGCTGCTGCGTGAAAGAAACCAAGAACTGAGCGAGTGAGCTTCAGCTTCTCTCGTCGCGGCTCGAAAGCAAGCCAGTAGCAAAAGCAGGGCAGTCTCATTGCCATCGCTATCGAGCAATGGCAGCGCCCATGCTTGCTGAGCAGCGGCGGTTTCTAGTGGTGCCAATGCATGTTTTAAACTTCGTCGACGTATTTTCAGGTTCTGAAAATGCATCAAAGTGTTAAAGAATGGGTTTCCCGTATAGCAATAAACATCTGAGCCTGGAATCGCATTGTGATTTTTCGTTGAAGAGGGACGGCAGGAGAAAAACTTTTCGTTGTAGTGACAATATTTATGCATTGACTCGTCTGGACTGCTGACGGGGAACCGTAAATTTTTCGTTGTAGGAGGAATTTCGTTATTCGCTGTAGCGGGGTTCGACTGTATTATTTCTTGCAAAGCATCTGGGACATCACTTACTAGATGAGATATGAAGTACAGTTGGAGTGCAATACCCTCTAAGAAGTTTAACTTGTATCCTTCAAAGCTTATCTTGCCTGAGTGCCTTCTTTTTGCACCTGGTACTTATAGATCATGAATGGCACACATTATCAACATGGCTTAGCACTCCTCACAGGAACGTAGAGGGCACCCTGTTTTCAAGAAAAGGAAACACAAGCAAGGCAGACAATTTATTGCTTGGGATTCAAGATACACCCTGGAGGGAGTAAACTTTTGTTAAAGCGCATGCGTGATGCACGGAAGCATGAGCGATTCCTATGAAGACGACAGCTGCTGAACCACCCTGTTGTGTATTTGGACAACTATGGGCATACCTGAAGCAATAAATTGAGAATGTGGCCTCTGGCGCAACACAAATTCTGTCAATGGGAAAACTATTTCACAGGACTAACCTGTTCACACGACGAGTTTCCATTTACCGCCGACCAACTGCTGCAACCAGGTTGGGGCTGGGAACTGGCATGTTCGCTAACCGCTGAAGAGTACTGTTGTTTGGACATTCAGGATTCACAGCACATTGAGAGCGTAAGCGTTCCAAAAAAGCATTCAGGCACTTTGGTAATACCCACACACTGAGGGACTTGTGGTCACACTACACATTGTTCACGCTACACAACGTTCAAAGTACGCACATTAGTGTCTCTAGAAATATACAGCTTCACACTCTTAAATGACCCTGTATGTTCCCTTTTGTAAATAAAAAAATTTGTTAGGGCGTATGAAGAATGCTGGTTATGCGGATTTTTGAGACTCTTGAACAGATCAAATACTGCCGTGTTTAATTTGGCGCATAAACTGCATATAAGCTATTACTAAATATGAATGTCATTGAAAAAACTTTTCAAACTTTTAAAAACATGAGCTTTATGCAAATTAAACCTGGAAAGCGGAGCAGAAGTGCGACAAATTTTTGTCCCCTTAATAGATGTAAGACATCATAAATTATTTTGAGGAGCATGCTACATTACCCAGAGAGCCCAAAATTCATGGATAAACAATAATTATTGGAACTCGCCTAGAGTACTATGTGAATGAACTGCTTATTTGTTGGACTTTTCCAGCTATTCTTTTAATAAACAACAATATCGGGCAGCGTGAGCAAAGAAACTAGCCAACGTAGTGAACACACTAGGATGCGAGAGCCATTTTATAATAATGATGCAAATGGCCCCACAACCTGAAAAATATTCTATATTCCATCCCACCTGTATACACCACTCAAACTGCCGATATTTATCCTGGTTGTAAAGATTACCGTTTGCATGTGCACTGATGACTATGAGCTTAAAGTCTGATGCACAGAGCGCAGAACGTATAAAAAAGGGGAAAAAAGGAGACAAATGGCAGGCACTATCAGTTAAATTTTTGACCAAAGGGTCAAACACAGCATTCAACATAAAGGTTTGGGGTTGATGCCATGTTTGGGGCGAGAGCCATTTTATAATAATAATGCAAATGGCCCCACAATTTGAAAAATATTCTATATTCCATCCCACCTGTATACACCACTCAAACTGCTTATATTTATCCTGGTTGTAAAGATTACCGTTTGCATGTACACTGATGACTATGAGCTTAAAGTCTGATTGGTCAGTGAGCAAGATGGGAAATGCACAGAGCGCAGAACGTATAAAAAAGGGGAAAAAAAGGAGACAAATGGCAGGCACTATCAGTTAAATTTTTGACCAAATTTTTGACTCAGCATTCAACATAAAGGTTTGGGGTGTGATGTTAATCTACTTTTGTCATTTGACTCAAGAACATTCATGCTTCAGTAGTCTTTAAGCAAGTCTTCCTAATGTCTCATTAGACTGCTCTATTATGAAGTTACCTCGAAACACTTAATTCAAAATGAGCTTTCACTTATACTGCATTCATTCTCTCATGACCCAGTAATGTGATTGCAAAGAGCAGGTAGCAAGGGGATAATCAAAAAGCGTGCCTATATTCACGTTGCTGAACATATAGTAGGTGCGCACGTAGAAGTACTAAAACATTCTATTTTGCAAAGCAGCAAGTTCATACATAAATTCATCAAAGAATGTGCAGTTGGAGGTAGAAAGAAACATTGGCTTTATAGCTTCTTACATTTGTTTTAGTACTCTTCCACAAGCACTAACTTTATGGCTTTATTCATGCATAACATATATATAACAAAAGATTCTTAGTTTCCCAAATGTTGTGATTTGAATAATTCCGAACTCTGCTTCAACATCCAACACTGCCATTCAAAGCAGTCACAAGACAGCCACCATTTCCATAGTGTGCCTTCAACTACCATGGCATACAAATATGATTTCTCCGTAGCTGCAAATATTTTTTTAGATTTCAAAGAGAATGCAGATGAGACTACTGCTCAATTGGCCTCAAAGGGTGTAGTTCCATTTAACTTAAAGTTGCATGATCAGAGCTGCACAAGGTACCATATTTCTGTACTTCCATATTTTAGTTCTGCTAATTAAGCTCCGAGCAAATTGGAAAAATTCAAGCAACAGAATGAGATGCACAGTAACGCTACACAATGCGGATACGTTTCATCCAGAACAAACCTCGAGGCGGGCTTTCATCACAGTGTCCTTCCGCTGCTTGTCGGCTTTTAGGATGGCTGAGACATTCTAAAGAAAGAGGGGGGGAAAAGAGAATGGGTTATGACTGTGTACACGGTTATGTTACCTCACTTTACACAGAATGCTCATAAAACATGACAGAATCTGTTCATTTACGAACATCAGCAACTTCCGTTACTAAGTGCATTTTCACGACTTGATGCCGAGGCCGAAGCTGAATGCCAAGAGGACAATTCGAACATGTAAGGATGCAACAGTTTGTTGAATGATTACATATATCGGCTGAATTCAGTTTGTTTATCATTAACTTCTGACCAAACCGATTGATGAATTCTCTACCTGTAGTGCAACTTTCTGACTTCAGAGACAGGATGCAAATTTTATCTCAGCAGAAGTGAAAGTGTTTAACTAACAAATGCAAAATATACATGAAGACAACTGCTAGTGAAATATTTACTACAATGTAAAAGGCTTCATGTTAGAAAAAAAAAAGAAAGTTTAGAGTTTCTTACTAACCATTGAGAATGTGACTAGTCATGGATCGTGAATAGAGGTCCTTATCATAACAAAAGGCGTACAATCTAAAGCAATATAATTGATAGTTTTCAGTATGAAAGCCTATCTTCCCATAAATCGGTGATCGTTACTGAGTGATGATGAGCATTTTCACATGTTAAGATGTGCTCAATGCGTTGGCTTAGATGCTGTTTATGGACCTAAGTGCACCAATGCCATGAGAACATTTCTGAAGTCAGCCAGCGCATACTAACATAAGTACAAGCTGAATGCATATGTCTAGAAGAAAGAGCACGCCAAGCAAACTACACTCCCACCTTTTGATGCAGCCTTTCCATCTTCTCAAGGTAGGCCTTTTCTGCAGCCTTAATAAGAGGCTCTGCTCTGTAAAATAGCATGGTTGTTATGAATAGACTGCACAATAATAATAAAAAAATTATGCAAGCTTAACAAGATCATACTTAGAAACGACGTCGCTGCTGATGACATACAGCTTTACTGATGCCTTGTTGATTTTGTTCTTCCAGAAAAAGCTTTTGCAGGCTGCTTCATGAGCCTGCCTGTAATAGAAAATTCCAGTTAATGTGGCATGTTCTATTGCAACACAAAAATTCCAGTTAATGTGACATGTTCTATTGCAACACAAACCTACACAAGATTGCTGCGAATTGCGTAGCAGAGCAGATTGAAGCAGAAATTAAGTCAGGGAATATTAAAATGCAAGTGTGCAATAAATTCCTGTAAAGAATGGTAATCTTTTAGGGCTACAGAAAAACAAACTGAGTGAAGTATTTATTTTCTGAGCTATTATCAGTGTCGCATGCTACACACGTGTCTGCAATAGATTGCTTTCTATGGTAATCCTCACAAAGCCTATATTTAGCTGGCCATCTGGCACAGCGTACTTATACTGTGTATTGTATTAGCTGGCTTCGGAACCATGTAGTCAATGATTTGTCTATTTCGAGCTTCGCTTCCAACACCTGCTTAGGCTGTGCTAGTTTTCTGCAGCTTCTGTGACCCAGCACAAGGCTAATGCACAGTTGTGCACAAATGATTTGCTATGCTTTTGAACACTTCAATGAGAACAATGCAAAACAGTGCAAGTTACACGAGTGCACGGAAAGAAAGGTAATAAAAAATGCAAGCACGTGCTGTAATATCCTGTTCATGAATATTGCGTGCAAATAATTCATGAACACTTGCATTGCTGTTGACATCAATAAAAGAAATCTTGCATCAGTTAAACACGACAGTGTACTTTGCCCTGCACCAACACTCAGTATCGAACTCCAAGCTGTTGTGATTCATTGGTTGGCAAACTCCCTCATCAGTCGACTATTCAGACTCGGATATAGCCGCGAGTCTGAGCGAGTCCAGGTGGGTAATATTTTGGCGAGTTTGAATACGAGTGAGTTCAACTGAGAAACATTTTAGTCAGTCTAAATGAGTACGGTTAAGCAAAGTTTGGCGAATGTGAGTCCGAGCGAGCTTTGATGGCGAGGTGCACCTACTTCATGAGGAAGTCTGACCACCGTATTCTAGAATGTCCCTTCACTCAACGCTTCACCTTCACTTGAGAAAGCCGATAGAAACGCCGTCTTTAGGCACGGCAAGTCACTCATATCAGCGACAATCTGATGCGATTCTTGAGTAGCGCAGCATAATTTTCAACCGAGCGATGGCGCAGCGCTCAACTCTGTCAAATGAAGGGTGGAAGTCGAGCCAAGGAGCATTTATGAATACGGGGGTTAGTGAGCTCCGCATCAAACAGCTAATAGTACGTACGCTAACAGACTCGTGACTCACTCACAGAGAGCTGTGAGTGAGTACAAGTGAGTAATATTTCGGTGAGCTCGAGCCTGACCGAGTCCGACTGAGGAAAATTTTCACGAGTCCGAGTATGAATGAGTCAGGTTGAGGAAAAGATTGGTGCGAGTTCCAGTGCGCCATGAGGGCGCAGGTATATTTCCTGAATCGCAGTGTCTATTCTCCCGGCAACCGGGATTATTGTTCAAAAAAAATTTCTCTCGGCGGTCACCTCCCATTGGCTCTCATATGTCACGTGACTAACTGCCGTGGGAAGAAGAGAAAAACTGGCTGCTGCGGGACAGACTGGGCATACTAGCCTAGCGTGGCTTAGGTTAGGCTGCGAGACAGACTGGACAGATGTGGTCCAGCGTGCGCTGGGTTGGGTTACATTACGTAAAGTTCTACCGATTGCCGGGAGAATCACACAAAAGATTTATCTCGGCAGTTGGTCACGTGACTTATGAGAGCCAATGGGAGGCGACTGCCGGGAGAAATTTTTTTGATCAATTATCCACCCCCTTTATGAATTAGTCCGAGTGAGCTCTAAATTTTTTGCCAACATATGTCGTGAACAGTCGATTGGCCGTCTTGCCGCACTGAACAGAAAATGTAGACGGCAGAGTTGCCGGACAAAATTTGTTGAAACATAGCACATTGTCTTACGATGCAGAACTTCTTCGAATTGACTGAAGTTTTAAGTGGAATCTCAACGCAGTACAGCTCCTATTCGTTGGCATGTCGACAACCCGTAAATCCTTTGATACGTCTTTCAAGTATGCGGGCCTAAGATACAACGCATCGCATAGTTTGTGCTGAAAGATACTTGTCTGTAAAACGTCCAAGCACCAAAATAAAAATATCCAAGCGCAAAAAACACCGGTGATGGCACAGAAACTAAACGCACGAACGCGAGAGCACGTCACTTACGTTGCGAGGTGCAAGAGAAAGTTGTAGCTGCGAACGCTCAAAGCTTCGTCGACGTTTCTCCCGTGTTTCTCAATCTCCGCAGCGCAAAAGTAGCACCAAACTTTGGCTCCATCTTCCCAAAGCAAATCGTGCACTTCGGGTTTCTTCAGGAACTGCTTCGCTTCATGCACCTAGAAAGAAGGATCGTGTGTGGAAACGAAGGTGAGGTGACACGACAACTTCGGGCGTCAGCGCTTACTTTCTTGAGGAACTTCGCCAACACATTTCTGACAATTTGTTGATGTTTCTTCGAATACACGTGCTTCTTCCCAACGTTGTGGCTCACCCGGCAGAGCTCGCACAACGTGTACTGCATGAACGATTCGATGGTCGCCATGGTGCACCATAAATATCGATTATGAGAGCTGGGTTGAGTGCTGAGAATTGACGCAGAGCGAAATAAGCCAAACCGATCGCACACGAAACGACATATGCCACCGATCTGGACACTTCACACAGCGAAAGTCCAAACTGATATTTCGGTAGAAAATGTAAACAAACGCTTTAGGTGTTGATGATGATTTCAGTAACAAAAATCCTGTAGTTATTTGTATCAAGAACTCAAAACGCTGTACAAACTTTTAAAAACAACAAAAACATCCAAGTATTAAAAAAACAGTAAATAACAGTACTTGTAAAGATTTTGTATAACTGCAATGCTAAAGTATTAAAACCGAAACAACAAAACTTGACGTGATTTCGGCTTAGTTGCCAACGCTGGGCAGAAAAGCGCGCGCAAATGCCGCATTTTTGCGGGAAAGAACAGCTTGTGCGGGTAACACAGGGCCACCTGCTAGTGTGCGTTAAAAGTTATTCCCCTCTTGAAAACATAGTTGCGAGTCTTTGCACTGCGCCATGGATGTAGCAGACCTTCGAACAGGACCCGTACAAGTCAAGGATGACATTGGGGACCGCTGCCAGAAGTTGTTTCAAGATTTTCTCGAAGAGTGAGTTGCCGCCGCTAAAATGGTGGCTCTTTAAAAATGTCGCGGACAAAGGCGCGCTCCCTGTCGCTTCTCCCCGACTTCTCGTGCGCGATCGTAATTTGTTTCGCTTTATACGGGAGTTTCAAATAGCCCTTGCTTGCAGATAAATTATTTTTTAAGCTACAGCTATTATCGTTTGGGAGCATTTTGTTTTATCTTTAGAAATATGTAAAAATATTCTCAGGTAATGCACATGTCTCTCCTCAACCATATTCTCCATAAATGTGCGGCGGTTTCTTCATCACAGAAAAATAATTCGCGCGATTGGCACACGCAGTTTCGTTGCCTGAGACTGTTCTTGTGTTCAATCTCAAAGATTGAGATCTAGAGCGAACTTGTTAGATCAACTATTCATGCCGGATGCACGAGTCGGAATTTCATTCGGGGAACTTGCCGCGCAGGTGTATATTTTGCGTCTGGTAGGCCTCTCAAAGGCGTGCTCTGTTAGGATAATTTCCTGATGAGCTAAGCAAGTCTGAATTCTTTGTTTAGTTTCCAATGTTCTGAAGTTTAGCTTTTGGTTTGCCTGGTTGGTTTATCTTACACGAATACATTGAAGGAACTAAGGAATTCTTGCACAGAATATTTATTGGTTGCCTGCAGTAGTTTCTTGTTTTCATTTAAGGAGTACAGCTATTAAGATTTTTCCTTTAATAATAAAAAAGTTAATAAAGTTCACCAGTGGTCAGTAGGAAGCCAGTGAAAAAAAAAAAAAAAGGAGGATTACAGAGTGGCAAAGAAATATTTTATATGTACTGTAAATGCACTAAATTTCTGTAGGGGTCAAAGTAGTTGTGCAGGTTGATGCAATATCAATAACAGAAGCATGAAATTACATATGAGAGAAGGGTTTTATAAGGTTGCTTGATTAAAACATTGATTGGCACACATTTTTTACTCTTTGTTCACCAAACGAATGTTTGTGACCCTTGCTTTATTTGTGCTTGTATTCCTCACTTGGACAACTTGAGAGATAGCTGGTACTTTTCTTTAAGCAAGACATACCCCTCAATGAAACTTAGCCATTATGCGTTATAATCCACACAATTCTTATTCGTATTAAGTTGGTTATTATTCTTTTAGCCATCTCGCTTTGCTTTATTGTACACTTATTCATCGTGTCACTTAGTGAGGTCCATAGTATTGTATGTTTATGTTGGATGTTGCCTCAAATTGTTCTGTCTTGGCAAAAATGTACTGCAAGGCCTGACTTCACGCTTAACTGTATTTGTAAATATATTGCACGCAGATGCAAGAATGAACGGAATGAGGTCAAGTATGTTGAGGAAGCGAGGAACCTGGTAAAGCCAGAGCGTAACACACTCGAAGTGAGCTTTGCTGACGTTGAGCGCTTCAACCAGAGCCTTGCTACTGTCGTCCAAGAGGAGTATTATCGGTGAGTCACATTGATTACATTGTCTTGTTTATTAGTGGGAAGACAGTTTGCTACCCTTCCAATGTTAAAACACAAGTCACTGTGGCATTCCACTTTTTGTGAAGCCCTCCTTTCACTTTCTCATTACAGTGTGTACCCCTACCTGTGTCGTGCTTTACGCAACTTTGTTCGGGACCATGCTGAAGTGAATGTCGAAAAAGAGTACTATGTCAGCTTTGTGGACGTGGCTACGAGGCACAAGTAAGTACTTAGTGTGTAAATAAAAAAAATAAAGCATTGATGGCTCAAAAAACCACAACATTGTTAGCGTAGTTGCACATACAGGGTCATATACTATTCGAGGTAATGCCTGATTGGTATTGGTCAGTACTTTTATCTTGCTATAGCGCAGGGGGTATGCTCTTGACGTCATCCGCCATGATCGCTAGCGTCGGTGTCGCCATTTTGGAGGTTGGAGTACTTACCACACGCACATAAAACTTGCTTGATGTGCTGTGTCCGATATCCGTACGGTTACTTAGGTGTCTGAAGACCCCCGTGTTTCGTCGTGCAGAATACATCCCGCAAGACGAAGCACGGACAACAGGACGGGGCGTGCGAGCGGACCTTGAAAATGGCATGGCGATGGTGTTGCCCCCCCCTTGCAGAGCTAGGCTCAGTGCATACTTCCTATTGGCTGATGTCGGTGTCTAAAGCACGATCAAATTAAGGTGGCAGTAGAAATTCTATTTCCAAGTGCTTATTACTGGGTAACAAGCCTTCCGTAGAATGAACTGAAGCTGCCCTAAATGAAATAAGCCGCGTTTATTGTTAATTGGCTCATTTGCCATGAAGACCATGCCAGCTTAACAAATTACAGTATGTGCACTAAAAAAATCTGCCATACCTTATTTTTGCCACATTGTAACAAATAACTTTGGCAAAAACATGAATTAGCAATTGTGAAGAGCTGCATAAGGTTCCTTGTGCTAGTGTCAACTGGCAGTGCACCAGTAACACTTCAGCACTATTTACGTCAAGCTTTTTGCTATGCATTTTCATTGTCAAACCCCCCATATGTTGCAGGGTGCGAGAGCTAACAACTGCTAAAGTTGGCAGCTTGTTGAAGATCAGTGGCCAAGTTGTGCGTACTCATCCGGTGCACCCAGAGCTTGTCAGTGGCACATTCACCTGTGTCGACTGCCAGACAGTTGTCAGCGGTGTCGAGCAGCAGTTCAAATACACACAGGTAAATCGTGGCTGACACTCCTTCTTATTCACCAGCTTCTACTCATACCAGTACTAAATCTAGCCTGCTGAATCAAGCAGCTTAGGCTACTAGACTGATCAGCTATTATGTTTGCTTGTTCATGTGCCCTTTTTTTTTGTCTCTTTATCCTGCGATTACAGCCGACCATCTGCAGAAACCCTGTGTGCCAGAACAGGACACGTTTCATTCTTGACACAAACAAGTCAACGTTTGTGGATTTTCAAAAAGTCCGCATTCAGGAAACACAAGCTGAACTTCCGCGAGGAAACATTCCACGCAGGTATGAGTCCATTTGCAAAATTCGCTTCTTTCAGTATAGCATGCATTACCAGCAAAAGCACGATTCATATGAAGACAGGTCTTACACCGTAGCTGGTTGTAAAGAGAGTGAAAATGCGCTGACCTTGCTTGCCCCTTCTGTAGCAAGTAAGAATGGAATTGCAAGGTTCATCCACTCTAAAAAAATGCGTTAACTCTGCACTAGTGAAATCTTGAGATTGTTTACCATATTGTTAAATTTGAGTAAATGAATTTTTATTGCATTCAAGGGCTACCCTTTTTGTTATACCCCTTGTGTGGTCAGAAGTACTAAAGTGAAATGTTGAAGAGAAACAGTTTCCCAGGCATGTATACGGGCTTTAGAACTATGAACGGCTTTGCAGTACGCGTGGTTGGAGGTTAGCAAAGCCTGCTTTTATTTTATCATTTCTTTTGCTAGTACATGTTTACTATGTAATCTAACCTGACTTCTTTTCTCTTTTATGCAGTGTGGAGGTTATTGTGCGTGCAGAGGCAGTTGAAGTAGCCCAAGCTGGTGACAGGTGTGATTTCACGGGCACGCTCATTGTAGTTCCTGATGTCAGCCAGCTAGCCACGCCAGGTGGGTGGAAATGCACTATGAGCAATGATCACATGAGCTCTAACAAAATGGTAATGCAGAAAAGCCATTTATCTCATTTTAGGCGATTATTCATTGCGTTTAATGTGGTTTTTGAGCCATGAAGGCAGCCATTGGGCTTTTTTTTTTTTTTTTTGCCTCGTCAGCGCTCAGTTTTAAAGATCCCTATACTTGGTATTGCTGTGAGTGATACTGTCCCAACGCAACAATGTTTTATTTACACAGCAATCTCTCTGTCGCGCCGGTTTTGGGGCACGAAGCTACGGCGACCCGTTACAAAGGGCAAGACCACCAATCATCATCATCATCAGTGTAGATAACAATTATGTGTTATACAACTTCATGGTTTCACTTTTGCCCTTTAAAGCATTTCATTGCTGATCACTCAAAAATTGAAACGCTATGCTTATAAGTCCAACTTATTATCTTAATTAAGGTATGCAGATTCTTGGAAATGTAAAAATGGTACTGCCCATGCTGACTCCATTGAATTACCTTGTCCACTTTAGAGGCATATACGTGCATGATAGTGAAAAAGAAGGTAAACAGTGTGTAGAATGAGCACAAAATTCCATAGTGTTTGCCCATGAGATAAAACCTAATAGGAACTACGCATTTTATATGCTAATCTTAGAAAACGTCTCCGCATTTAAACTGAAATCTATAGTAACTCATGTATCTTTACTATCACCTTTTTATGAAGTGTAGCGATCTGAATTTGGAATTTTTTATGCGCAGTTTTATCTGTTCCTTGATTTGAGCACAGAAGCTTATGTAAGCAGAGGTGCCAGCTTTGAGCCCTGTCTTTTCTACTTCTTCCTCTCTGTGTCATTTGTGCATCTTCCTTGGTGCATAAAATGCCACAAATCAGCTTACTTTTTTTTTCATGCTTTCTCCCCCTTCCCCACTCTACCAACTTCTGTTAAGGTGCTATTAAGCAGATGC